CTTTACTGACGCCATGCGACGCTCGGAATAACGCAGCAGCTGCAACATTGAGAAGCCTGGAACGAAAAAGGAGTCGCGTATAGAGACGGCCGCCTCGTAAGAGCCGCGCGTGCCTCGGGACCATTAGGAAACGATTCCAGACTCCCCACGATTCCAGACTCCCCACGCATGCTGTAGTGCCGAAAGAAAGCCATCTTTGCCTCTGTTGCGATTGGTGTGTGCTTATTGCATCGTCGATGGCGTCGCTGCTGGTACCCGAGCGAAGTGCATGTGGCGCAGCAATGCAGAGTCTCGGAATGAGGAAAGCTTTTTTTTTTTTTGCTTCCTTATCAAGCTGAAAGCTTTGTCCTAGAAGCCCACCGTAAGCATTCCTCGGAAAAGCGTGGGTGTATATTCGACGTGCGCAACGGCTTAGCTCCCTTTTATCTCACCCCGACGTTGCCGCGAAACTGTTGGTTGTACCCGAATATAGCCGTTTTTCATCGAGGATATAGAAACGACACGTGACGACGCGTGGATTCTAAAGCGTAGCTTCGTTGCAAACTTGTTTCGCAGTAGCACCTGTGTGAAATGGTCCATGTAAGTGGGGTTTTAGTTCTTCTTTATGCGCTATAAAAAAGGTATAAGCGAGAAAACCGTGGCGCGTCGTGTTAAGGAGTTGCGATGCGGCACTCTAAGGATTAGAGTGTGACGCTATTGTTCCATTTAGGGAGTGCAACGAGCTCCCTGGAAGTGCATCTCTTTCCTCGTCCAGTCTGAACCTATAGACCATTTCACTAGAGACCCCCCTTGGGTGCCGATTAGTCCTCTTCAGACCGTTGTTAACATGCGTGACCTCCTAAAAATGTACTGCTGAGGCTGTGACGTCGACTTCTGTACTCCTGTGCAACAGCCCAGAAAGGAGGCGACCCTCGTCTAGTTGAAAAAAAGGTCAATATATATGCGCGATTCTGATTTCTGAAATGTGGCATTGGGCAAAAGTGTCAGACGAACAATCCTGCACAACCTGTTGTCTCCACGGCTCCCGGAGAAGTTTTTAGAGATGAACTTTAGTTTTTTTTCTGTACTGATCAAGCCTCGCGAGAACGCCCCTTTCACTCAACGTAGCATTTTTTTAAACACGTGTTTCGCTTTTAATGGATAAAGATCAGAATCAGTACTAATCAATGACATAAGGTTTGGAAAAGAATATTGAGCGACTTTCTATGAACGCAAAATCTAAGTCGTCAGAATTGGAAAGCGAAATACGAAAATCGATTTTCATCTTTGGCGTACCAAATAAATGAACCGAGTGTGGTCCCTAAATATGTTCTAAAGACGAAAAAAAGAAAAAAAAGAAAAGCCCAGCCGTTTGCAAAATGTGCAGGGTAAAGGCGGCGTGCGGCTTCTTCATGATTCATTCTTCCTTTTGTAAATATATTACAGGGCTCCCCTCTTATAGCCTTTTCCCTCATTTCTTAAAGGAAAGGAAAAGAAACGCGCAATGCTATTTTTCTTGTATGCAGCCGTAAAGACCAGAAGTGCTTTTGCCAAATCCCGGAAGAGTTTTTCTTATATCTCTACGGGGAGGACGTGGTAGGCAATGTGTTGTTCACGATTCTTCGGGCACGAAGGGAGGGACCTTAAATCCAGAAACATTCGTCCCGTATTTAAGAGACTACTCAGGGTTTCTTTTGTTTGTTTGTTTGCTTATTCTGTTGTGTTTGTGTGTTTTTTTTTTCATAAGTTGGTATCTCAATATGGCTATAGGGCTGTCAAAACTACGCGGGGGGAAATGGCGTAGCGCTCACACACTACGTCTCTCCGGATGCAAGTACACCTCCTTCTACAAGCCACATAATCTAAAACAGCTTATTTCTAACATTTCTTTCTGCGTCTTCTTTTATTATTTGCAGGTGCAACGAGAAAAGCAGCGATTACGTATATCCGCTTCCGGGGAGCCCTATTTCGGCGGTGCATGGTTTCGATCAGAGACACTTCATGCGCACAGTCAGTGGCACAACGTACACTCCCCACGGTACGTCAGGCAGCTCAAATAGAAAGCTATAAGAATTCGTAAGAAATGCGAGCAAGCATGGCACTGGCATTGCGAACGTTGAACGCCGTCCCATCATTGAGAGCCAGCGGCCGAGTGGGGCTGGCTAGGTTGCGGCACGATCGAGGAAGTAAAATTGCCAGTGTTGCTTTATTAAAAGCGTTTTCGAACTTTTGTCCTTTCTTTTTCTTTCTGTAGTTCCGCAACGCGCGCCCATTTCAAATCTCTCATTTCCTGTTGGCTGGAAAGGCGGAGCTCGAGACTCGGACGAATCGTCGTCCAAGATCTCCAAAACAGGTTTCTCAGAAAGTGCTCTAAATGTGATGTATGAAAGGGTATACTTTTCAGAAGTAGCTTTTGACAATTTTTCAATTAATATCGTCGTCACCAGCTTGAGAATTCGCCCAGTTTTTTACAGTTATAGCGTACGGATTTTCATTAAAACATTATCATCACGAATAAGGGGAACATACACGAACACACTATAAACATACAAAGACGAGAGGCTTACACTTGTCTTTTAAAATGGACAGAACTCCAGCCCACTTGATGGGCTGAGAAAATTGATTGATTGATGTGTAAGGTTTAATGTCCCAAAACTACCATATCATCATGAGAGACGCCTTAGTGGAGGGCTCCGGAAATTTCGACCACCTGGTGTTCTTTAACGTGCACCCGAATCTGAGCACACGGGCCTACAGCCTTTCCGCCTCCATCGGAAATGCAGCCGCTGCAGCCGGGATTTGATCCCGCCACCTGCGGGTCAGCTGCCCAGTACCTTAGCCACTAGACCACCGCGACGGGGCGATGGCCTGTGAAAACAAACATGATAAATTACAGAGGAAAGCACATTGCAACCCCACATCTCAACACATGCAGTGCACGATGGTATAGTCTTATGGTTCCCAACAATTTGAGCAGAATATTTAGAGCCTTATAACCCAGCTTTAGTTTCAGATTTAGTTTTATTGGGCATTTTCTTTAGAGAACTCCGAAATAAAACGCAAGGATGGGAGCAAAAAGCTGCTATATGTTAGCTAGCAGCTTGACGAGGCTACTACCTCTTTGTATTTAGCATCGCAGAAACCGCAGAAACAATTGGATGCTGATTTTCAAACTTCAGGAAATCATGAAATGATACGAAAACAGCATATTACATTAGAGTTTCAGGTTTACATAGAAATGATCAAAGCACACACAAAAAACATTGAAACAGCACACAGTCAATTATGAAACCATACGCGTGTTGCTAAACGGCTAACAAAAGACTACAAATTATAAAAAAAAGCTTCAAACATTGAGCATACGAAAAATACAAGTTCTGAAGAGGTACAATGGAAAACACTGATAAGAAATAGGTTATATGTTTAACTCGTTAAAAAAGAAAATTTACATAGGACATTTTACGAAAATTTACGTAAGAAGCAACAAAGTTGGATGACATAAATTACATTCATGAGCACTATTATAGCGTGCTTTCTTTTATACAGTGTTCTTGCCGAATAAATAGGATAAATTAAACTACGCAGCGCACTTCTAGATGAGTAACTTCTTAGGTTGTTTTTTTGTTTTGTTTTCAGGTACATCACAGCTCATTTACGACCTTCCGAAACAAGAAATTATCGAGCGAACTTCGAGCAAAATTAGAACGCTGCTCAAATTTGGCGCTGTTCCACGTCATTAACCGCAGGGTTCAAACCGCATCATTATGCAGTCAACAAATCACTGGCCGGAGGCGAAAGCGCTGTAGGCCCGTGTGCCCAGATTTGGGTACACGTTAAAGATCTCCAGGTGGTCTAAATTTCCGGAGCCCTCCACTTAGGCGTCTCTTATAATCATATGGTGGTTTTGGGACGTTAAACCCCCCATATCATCAGATCACTGGCTTCTAAGTATTGGCGGTGCCACCTGCTAGCTTAGTCAGAAATACATATCCGTCACTTGTTCCGCTTCAGCGTCTCGTGTGCTGATAACCTTTAAAATCTACCTGTGCTTCAAGCTGCCACAACAGGTTTTTATTGATGCTACACGTTTGGATTCTTGATAAAACTCGAAAATGAACTGCCGGCTGTGTCAGCATCACTGATCCAAAAAATTATCACCTCATGACGTCAGCGCAACGTCACAGATCGTCACATTTCATTACGTCATCGTGACATTTTCATGGCGTCACCATGACGTCACTTAACCTGACGTCACACGATGACGTCAGCACATTACATCGTCGCTTGGTCAAAGGTGAGCCGATCACGGAGGCAGTGCAAAAACCAGGTGAAGAAATCTTGCAGTGCCTCCGATCCCGGAGGCCATGCGGCACCACGTCAGGAGCAGAAAGTTTTCGCACGTGAGAGGGGCATGGTCATTTATAAATCGACTTAGAAGAAAACGAAGACAGCGTTTGCCTTCGATTTGTCTTACGCGAATGCATAATGGTCAACGCGACTTTCCTTTTTGAAGTTGTGCATTGTATTTGTTAACGGAACGCGTCGCCTTCAGCAATAAGAATGTCAGCATATGCACCCAGTTTGTCTAAGCTAAACCCCGTCGACAAGCCGAACATATAGGCATACAGTACCAGCGTTTACCCTGCTGACAGTTTACCATATTGGAAAAAACGCCGAACAACAAGAAGTTGAATGCTCTAGACGTGAGTCTGTCCATTTTCTAAAATGTTCTGTTCACAAAACCGTGTTTGCCCGACATTTATCAAACTTGTGTCCCGTTACGGTAAGCGAATTACTTTGGCTATGAATGTCACTCCACAGATGGCCCAACACACCAGTTAAAACATACTAGTACTCATTTTTTTCACACGTTAACAGATAGTTCCGATACATTCGACATTGTGCGTCTAGGACTCTAACTTAGCGTTCACTCTAGTTTACGAAGTGTAAATAACACATACGTGTGAACCTGTAGCGCCGTGCGCGTGCAAGAGAATGCATAGCGCATAGATATATCTCACCGGAGAAGTCTCGCATGTCCATCTTGTGGGCGACGAGCAGCGCCCGGCACTTGGTCAGCTCTCGCAGGAGCATCTGTGTGCAGCACACCAGGTTCACCAGCTGCTGCGAGTCCACCGGGATGCCGTCCGACACGGCACTGAAACAAAGAGGAGAATAGATGCCGCGTTTCTTCAAGTTCACTGAATTTCCGTTCGAATACGAAATCCGAGTACGACAGAGCTACCGGTGATCACTAATACGACGACTATCACTTGTGCTCATTCGCAACAGCGTTCTCGTCAGTTCTCGAAGGACGAAGAGGATTGAATGCGGAAGGACAGGGAGGTTAGCCAGTTCTCAGACCAGCTGGCTACCTTGTGCTGGGGAAGGGGGTAAGGGGAATAAAAGATTAGAGAGAAGAGACGTTGAAAGAGAAAAAAAAAGAGAAGGACGACAGTACGACCCACGACGCTGCTTACAGTCTGTCTCTAAGACCACTTGCCCGCAAGAAGCGCAACAACGCTCTCAATCCCTTGCGTGCCGAGGACAGTCTTGGCCAGTGTCCTAATACCCTTTCTTACGACAATTGGCGATTGTCTGGTCTATCTAAAACTTTCGACAGTACTTTTCTTGACGCACCAAAGCGAGGACACTCGCAGAGAAGATGGGAGAATGTCTCCGCGCAACCACAGTTGTCGCGTGTCGGGCTGCTGGCCATACAGATTTGAAACGAATATGCATTCGTAAAGGCAACCCCAATCCACAGACGGCACAAAAGCGTCTCCTCAGCTCCGGTTATTCCTAATGGAAAACAGAGCTGAAGGTGTGGGCCCAATTTACAAAGGCAGACGTTGGTGAATGTTGGTAATCAGTTCTCGAAGCTTTCTCTGGCAGTAAGCTACCTTCGACCGTGCGCAGGTAGACAAGAATTATTTATCAGTAAATGTGAGAATGTATTGAAATAGCTTGAAAGTCTCTTAGCCCTACGGCACTCACTTCGGCATCTCGCTTTTAGTCACTCTCGAGAGCAGCTCGTTAGAAGCTGTTAAAGTAATAATGATTGTCGGGAATTAGCGTTTCAGAACCTAATTTAATTATGGGGGACGCCGGAGTGGAAAGCCTTGAAAATGTCGACCACCCGGCATTATTTAACACGCACCTAGTTCTAAGCACACGGATTTCCAGCATCATCGCCTCTATCGAAAACTTGGCCGGGACTACATCCCGCAATCTTCGCGTCGGCGGTCGAGCACCTTAACCACTAGATCATCGTAGTGGAGGGAGGCTTTTACGATACCTGACTTGAGTTCAGTCTACCTCACTGTATATTCACACACGAAGAAAAGTGCCCGTATGGGGGACTCTAATACCGCGAGTAAGAGAGAAAATTAAGAATTCACCTTCAACTGCCCAGTTCACGACAATATGTTACATTTTCACCTCCGTGTTTTTGTCAATAAAACTTTGTACGTGCGGTAAAGGTATGGAAACGAAACCGCCTATTTCCACCTGTGAACAACACTGTTTTAATATCTCGCCATTGTATATGTAGAGACAAAATCATTTCTCAATACGGGAACATCTCATTCTCTAATGACAATTGGTTGGAAGATCAGTTGAGTGCCTGAGTAGTAATCCCATCTTATCGAAGTAAGCATGAAACGAATAGTTATTCCCGCTTAAAGTAATGTCGCAGCAAACCGCTCCCTTTGTTCACACCCGTAAAAAAAACATTGAGACAGCACAAAGCAGAAAAAAAATTCCGCCATATCCACGAAGTGAATGATGATGAGTGGGCGAAGCTCCGGAGGTAAACCTGGTAAACCATGAATCCTCTGTACATTTTGCCCACTCGATTTTATTACATCGCTCCCCCTAGCCTACGTCGCCGCACTAAATCGAACGATTGCCTTCAACCAATGACACGCGCCATATGTGACATCATTCCTATTTTATAAGATCTCGCGTCTTTCATCAACTACAAGTACCGCTTTCTAGTTTATAACATCTTGCATCTTTTCATCATCAGCTACAAGTACCACCATCTAGTAAACACTACAAGAACTAAACAAGAGGTGGCTACATACAGGAGACGGTACCGCCATCTAGTGAACACTGCAAGAACTAAACTAGAGGTGGCTACATACAGGGGACGCTACCGCCATCTAGTGAACACTGCAAGAACTAAACTAGAGGTGGCTACATACAGGCTACAGGGGACGCACAGCCCACGCCCTAAGGAGCTTCGCCCCTAAAAGGCCCAGGATCAGAAGACGTCAAAGACACTTGGTTATTCAGTGTTACAGTTGAATACTCTCCTTAGTGTCCATTGTCTAATATATTCTTGGCTAATATATTGGCTAATATATTCTTTTCAGCTCAGTTCGTGGCTTCTATTTGTTTGTTTGTTTTTCATCTCCTCACTAAGTCTGGCTACCCTAACCTAACAAGGCGACTAAAGCAGTACGCATGCTAGCGCAATCTCTTAGGGACGCCTTCAATAAGATATCAATAAAACAAAAGAGCAGCCAACCCCTCCGCATATGACGGTATCCTAAAACAAGTAATTAAGATAAGTAGCTCTGCCGTGCGTTGCTTACGGGCGTCTCTCTACATATGGTGAAGTCCGCTCCTTCCAGAGGTCATCGTTTGGGAGCACTAGATTAAGTCCGATTAGGTTGAGCCAACCAAACTTGGTCTGATAGAGCACGCTCTCTTTTACTTCATTAATCATTGAGAGGTCAACACCAGTTTGTAGAACTCATAGACCCTCCCCCCCCCCCCCCCGAAAAAAGATACAACCAAAACGCTCATCCAACTTGCGGTCATCAAGGGCACAGTAGGGACTGCGATTTCGGTCAGTCTATCCAACGGCGCGACAATCAAACAAGCTTTAGGTTCATCTTATACTATGTATTCGATTACCGGCGGCGTACAACTTATCCACGTAGTTTCAGCATAGCTCGCAAAGCAGGATAAAACAGAGCAAAAGCCCGAGCCTCTTAAAGGATCACTGGAACTTAGAAGATTGCAGCGGGGCTGATTAACTCCTAACGAACCCTGCGTCTACTCGGCTCGCTCCGCAATTCAAAACATTGCGTATAAAGCCTTAATTTATTACTACTATTTATTGACACTGCTAGTCGGCTACCCGGGGAAATATGGACAGGTGAAAGAGAAAGAAAGCGCCCTTTGGCTGAATCGCATCAGCTGACGCCGAAAAATTGAATTTCACGACGTATGCAGCGGCGATTTGCTCCCTTAGAATCAGTACCTGCGGGTCATAAGCTCATGAATATATATCGGAAATGCGTGAAGTCTCTGCAGTGCTTTTTCACTTTCTCCTTCGCTGCTGCAGTAAGCGTTGTCTGCTTGATTCTCAGAAGTGGCGGTCCGACTTAATCGACGAGTTCGGGAGAGTACCGTACGGGGCGCTGAACAATTCATGGAAGCAGGGAATCGCGAAAGGCTTTTGGACGTGGCGCATTTGCCATTTCAAAGCTACGGTGCTACAGCCTAGTGCGGCGCAAGACGTGCATGCAAGTTTTATTTAATCCTATACTTCACTGCCTCATTCACTCGCACACTCCCTCACAAACTCACTCACTCACTCACCCACTCACTCACTCGATAACGATACAGTTCTTTCTACTCCTGAGAGATCTTACAGTCTCAAAATTGGGTTTTATGCGCACGTCTCGTTATATCTGTTTTATCGCTTTACGCTGATGCCACTATCAATAAACCCTTTATCATAACCAGCCCTTCAACTAATCCGCTCACGGAGGATCTACTGGACTATATATATATATTATATATATATATATATATATATATTATATATATATATATAATATATATATATATATATATATATATATAATATATATAATATATATATATATATATATATATATATATATAATATATATATATATATATATATATATATATATATATATATATATATATATATATATATGAGGCTATGCTCAAGCGAGGGCAGCGTCCGCACCTTGATTAACAGCCCATTTCTGCCAGAGTAAATTATTTTGGAAGATGCGTCATCACCAAAGTATCGTAACTGCCTCTTTTAATACGAACACTGATACAAACATGCAACGTCCTTGAAGCAGTGGTCCTCATAGAATTCTTCGCCATATCGTCAAAGTGCTGCCTCGAGTGCGCCTTCCTATTCTGCGCAAAAAATCAAACTAACAGATGGTGCGAGAGGAGCGAGATTTTTAACTGTGCGGACCACGATGAGAGATAATTGAGGGCGCATCTGTTATAATACTCCCAAAACCTTTGTCTTCATTGATTAAATTGTTTATAGACTATGATCAAGCTTTATGAAAGATTTTTCACCCTCCCCGCTTTCTATTCCCCTTTGCCATTCCTCTTTAGCATACAGTAGCCTACCGCATGCGTTTCTGGTTTACTTTCTTTCCTTCTGTCTTTCGGTTTCCTTCGTTTTTTTTTTTTACGTGATAGCGTCCAAGAGCTCTTTTCGCAGGAATTCCGGCATTGCGGTCCGCACCCTTGATTGCGAGAGAAAAATCAGCGTTGTCCGTGAGCAAGAGTTAGAGATAGAGGCAAATAAATAAATAAATAAATAATAAATAAATAAATAAATAAAAGAAATCTTTGGTCCGAGTGTGAATTTAATTCAGGCATTCTGCGCGGCCAGCGGACGCTCTACCACGGAGCTATATATGTCAGTGTTTGAAACCACACAGTAAACAAAGAATGTAAGATTGCGATGTAGTAGAATTAGGCTCCTTAACAGATGTAATAGTGCGTGGCAGAATCGTAGCATTTCGCGAGGCGTCGAAGAATACGAGCTGCGTGACGAGTTGGTGTTATGAAGCTCATGATTAGTAGAATTTTGCGGTGCAACGGCCTTCAGGTGCCAAAAGGCGCCATGACTTTTTATGAGGTGTGAGCGGCGATCGATGGTCGCAGTGGTGGTGTATTATGGCTGTGTAGACACCTAAATATCACGTGCTGCATACAAACGTAAAAGCTGTGTATATACTACGAAACTAGGACAGTGATACGCGGTGCAATCTAGCACTGTATAATGAATCACAAGTGACTATGATACTTACAAGTGAGATATGGGGGGGGGGGGGGACGAATGCCGCTTTCGAGGCCAAAAGGAGGGAGGTGGGTGCTTTCGGTAAAGTCCACAGCAACAACCTCCTTTCAGAGGACGTGCTAAGGATAGCCTGAATATATGGCTCAAAAGCTGCGGACATCTTTCGAAAACGCAAACAATGACTCTTATTCAAAAATAGGTCCCCTGCCTATGAACATCGATGGATGGAATGGTATTCGTTCTCGGTAGACAATAAGAAGTGCAATTTTTATGGGCTCTAATTCACTACGAAGCACGGACTGCTGGGCGAGTTGGTAGTTCATCCTAACTGAGCTCCTTTTGTACTTCAATTTTTCGCGCAACTCAGTTAAGAGGATTCACTGCATTGGGTTAGCAAGTGAAGAACAGTGACTGCTTGACCACATTTCTTGCACATGGGTGAATCCCCACGACACAAAGGGTATTAGTGTGTACTCTGTGTGTCTGATTCTTAGCCTTGTTTTATTATCCCATGTTCGTAGACATGTTTTGAAGCTGCTTACTCATTACAAAGTGCGAGGCGGCCGATATTATTGGATACTTTGACTATTTTCCACCCTCTCTTACGCCATTTTTTACCTAAAAGCGCGTATTTTTCATACCGTAGAAGTTATTAGCCAATAAAACTAAATGTTAATTCCTACGTATATGTCCAAAAGCAACTTCACTTTTGTCGGGCCGAATTTTATAACCACTGTAAGTTGTGTATTTCTAAAATATTTGTACCTGAACAACTGTTTCCAGATCCATCTTAAAGACAGTCAGCCGTCCGCCTTTGAACCATGTACTCTATTACGAGCTGCAGACGCATGGTATATGCGTGGTGTACTGTAAATGCGCATTCACAACTCCTTAACGCTCAAGCGTTCAATAGAGAGCAACACTTCTTCATCATGCAGTTCCACCTATGGACGCCACTGCGCTGAGTGTGCACTAGCCATAGTGATCGCCTCAGTCTTGGGTTCTCCAGATCTTCATCCAAACCTCTCTCTCTCTCTCTCTCTCTCTCTCTCTCTCTCTGTTTCTCTCTCTCTCAGCCTTAGGTTAACTATAAGCCAAAGCATCCAATATTCTAGTGCTGGGACAAGCATACACCCTTTTCAGTTGTCTCTCAGCTTCTTCCGCTTTGTATTAAGCAAACGTTCAACAAAGCTAAAGCTCTTTGTCCGATTCAGTTCAAAGAAGTGGGGTCGTTAACTTAAGTGCTGTACAAAACCTAAATCGATTCAACAAAGCCTCCGTGCCACCGACTTTGATCTCAACATGAAAATATTTCATCGTCTTAGACTACAGAGTGAAACCAGATGGGCGAAAGAGGTCGCAGTAGTGAGCATATGCACGGTCGCTTGGCGGCACAAGCCACTGTGAGATTTGCGTCACATTCAACACGCAGCGCACAGGCGCCTTTTCTGTATAGCCACGACTGGTCCCGAAAGAAACTTCGGCTGCTTGCCTTGAAGAAGCTGCGCGTATTTACACGGACAGCTTTAAGCCTCCGTCAACCGAGACGTCGAACGGAAAGGGCGTCGGGCTCGATTGCGCTCTTTCTATCCGCCCAGAGCGCCACACGTCTCTTCCACTTCCCGACGCGTGTTCGCGCAGTACGCGTCCATTATCCATTCGCTCGTCTGTCCGGACGTTGTCGGAGCCTCCCTAATGCAGTCGGCAGTGAAACACGTTGTTGCAATGCCTCCCTTCTTTTTTTTCTCATCGCATACTACGCCGATGTGGAAGTGGTGTCGCCCCCTCGTACTGTCGCCCGCTCACGCTATTCGCACGCGCTATCCTTGGCTGCCTCCCGACAGACACTACACGTCACTCTCCCTCGGCCTCTTTTCTCCTACGGCTGGAAGGCTATGTACGCGAAAGTTTTATAGATAAAATGTGGGTCTCGTACTTCAGCTAGACTTCCCTTTAATTCGTTGATTCTTTAATACCACAGAGACGACGCTATTTTCATGCGGTCACTGCCATTGTGCGGCGAGTCTTCCCGAAACTTCGCAATCTGCGATAGTTCCTAACTCTCCCTGTTGTTCTTTTCTGTCTAGCGTACTTTGGGCTCTTTATATGTGTTTTGGTCTATTCCTGCTTTCCAAACAACCGTCGTTCTCCCTTTTTTTCCTAATTCTAGCAATAAGTCATTACTTTTTCTTACCCTGCGGCGTTCGCATGTGGCCCTCCAAGCAATGAGAAAATAAAAAAGAGCTTCGACTAAAGTGGCAGGCATTTCTGAGAGAAGCTCCATTTCTGGGATCGAGTATCATTCTACGTATTAGCCCAGATGAGCAGGTGCTCTTTAGCTCTGTACTCGAAATGTTATCAATTGCTTTGTCGTAAAGTGGTCACGTATAAACTCACGTTTGCTCTGACCGAAACATTCCCGGCCTTACCTTTTTGTCTGGCGATGTTTATTGCACATGCTGCCGTGGAATGTTTGGGTGGCCCAAACGCCGAAGTGTTTAAGTATTACCCCGACAAGCCCACTGGAACAGACAGCTTTCACGTTAGTCAAGTCATCAACATAAGAACATTGTTATGGTGGCACCTTACTCTTCAAAAAAATACATGACGAAAGAAAAAGAACTGACGTAGTTGGCTTTTCGTGCGCTGAACGTGGTTCAAAAATAGCAATAAATAATAATTCACGTACTAGGGAATATATGGGAACTAATGTATCAAGCTACCTACTCGTTACATCGTACAAGAACACCTTAAAGGCTTGCGTGTCTGGAAGTCAAAGTGAAAGGGTCACAACCTGTCCCGTTGTGATTCCGGCTTTCGACATGCATTCTGTCGTAAGCGTATTGCCATGATCGTTGTATTGCAGCACTACAAGCACACAAGTGATTCTGATGATGTTCCCATACCAAGAGTGTCATGCTTGCAACCACTGCACCTGCAAAGAGTCTATAGAACAAGGCTTTCTTTTTTTTTTTCGCTGAAATTCCTTCAGCGTGAATGGACTGCCACTGGCAGGCTGCGTTGGCCCACCTAGGACGTAAGGCCCCTATCAGCCGAGTCAGTACTAGAATGTCGACCTGGCCATCTCACTGCAAATCTATCAATGGCCTTATAGAGGCTTTTTGCGTGGCACTGGCCTGTTGGACAGGCTACAATAGCCTCGATTCTCATCTTCCTTTTTGTTGTTGTTGTTGCTGGTTTCACGTGCCTACTCTTTCTACATTTTTTTTTTCGTCTAACCTCTCTGTCCTTCCTCCTTCAATCCTCCTCCTCCTTCTCTTTCATCTTTCTTTATCGACCCCCTTAATGTAAGGACAACAAACCAAGTGCTACAATTATGCTCGAGGTGTCGGTGTCAATCAGTCTACGCTAGCTTTTTGTCACTCCTTTTTCTTTTTGGTGAGTTGCCGTGCGTATGTTGTGCTCTGGGTGGAATGGGTAGTAACTTGCTAGCTGGCATGTTATTTAGAATTTAACTGGGTGCCCATTGGTACCCACAATATCCTGCCTGCTTTATTTCACGCGCCATCGACATGAAACGCGCACCTCGGGCAATACTTCTTATCCTATAATGATATTGCTTCAGCGCAGCTCAGTATGAGCGCGAAGAAAAAATGCTATGCAGTAAAAGAGGAGAAAAGAAACAGACGACAGTGTGAGCCGATTTTATTTCTAGTTTAACGGGCCTTTTCCCTACCAGTCAACAAGACCCTTACGCCATCATGTCGCTCATAGCCGTCACACTATTGTCTGTTTCTTTTCCTCTTCTTTACTGCGTAGCATCTTTTCTTCGTGTTCATGCTGAGCTGCGCTAAAGCAATATCATTTTATCCTGCACCAACTCGCCCAGTCAGCAGTACTTTTCATCCCGCTTGAATCACTAGATGACTAAATTTCTGGGGAGTCTCATCACAGCACCATACATAGCTACTGAAGTCGCTGATGTTTTGGTTATTCTCATAATTTGTGTTTAAGGAGAGACATGCTCCTAAAGGTGCTCCCAGGCCACAGTTGTGCGCTGAGACGAGCATCCTCAACGAAGGCACTATATTAAAAAATGTCCAGTGGCATTGTCTCGGATCCATCAGAGCGCCGGTAGCGTAAGCGCCATCGTGACGTGAGCCTCACCTGCGAATGTGCGGCAGCAGCAGGTGTGCCGCGTCGACGCAGGCCTGGACGCAGCGCTGGCGCAGTGTGCGTATCCGCTGGCGAAGCTCGGGCCCGTCCTGGGCGCTGCTCACGCTCAGCAACACGTCCCGGAACAAAGCCACGCCAACATTCAGCTCGTCTATCAGCTGCGTCGAGGGAGAAAATAAAAGACAAGCAGCCACATTAGCGAATTTCTACGACACCAAAGGCTTGTCCTCGAACATATTGAAGCACAGTGCAACCACAACGCTGACAACGGAAAAAGACCCAACCACAGCGTCGACTTCGCAATTTGAAGCGAGTGGCAGAAAAAAAAAATTACTATAGCCTCACACCATGTGAACACTTTATTAAAAAAACACCAGACCTGCACGTAACGCGCAGCACTGTCACAATAATAGCTGGAAGAGCAGTCTTTCTCTTTTGAATACTCATTCAGGTAACTGCTACAAGCACACTTGCAAAGTACCCACTACGGCCATAAATCATAAATTTTGTGTAGTACGCAGGTATACACAATGTCACTTTCGCATTTTCGTCGTTCTTCGGAGAAGCGTGGTACACACTACACACTTGAAAAGAATTATGTGCATTTTGAGGATGCTGTGGCTGACGACGATGAAGAATTACACCTGAGGTTTTTGTAATGGGTTGGAGCTTTCGACGACCCACTCGTTACTCAATTCGCATTGTGTGACGCCTGGTTATTTTTTTCGCTGTTATAAAACCCTTATTACACATATAAACGTGATTCCTTACTCAACCTGAAGGCTTCCTAGTGTCAGTTCACAACAGAGTTTCAAGCTCTGAGCGTGGATCAGTGGTAGAATACTGGGCTAGCACGCAGGAGTCTCGGATGTGAACCCCGTTCTGTCCTCGGTGTTTTTATTTATTTAATTCTCTTTTTTTTTCAAACGATATTGGTTGCAGACGCCGCCGGCGGAGGTGCATAACTACGGCGCCAAAAACGCCCTTCATTGTAATCTCATAAACGCGTTCGCTGTAAAACAGCAAACCAGCTTACATCTTGAATACGAAAACAAATAGTGAATAAGATTAGTTGTACAACCCAAGATAAGGTACGTCAGTCGCTATAATTCTCAAAAAGGTAAACTGGCTATCATGCAATGTAATAAGGAACGCCTAAATAATGTTTATCTCTTTTTTTCAAAAGTTGACCTTTTTTTGCTGCGTCGTGGCAGCGGTATGTTTCAATTTGTTCAAGAGCTGTCCCTAACTGGACGCATTTTCAGTTCAAGAGGAAAATCAATAATTAATTTACATTCAGTCTTGGTAGGAATATGTCTTTTCATGAGACAAAAGCCTCAGGTTGAAACCTCATCAATAGGGAAAACATGCCTTCCTTGTTTGTCTCAACATGAGTGATGCAAAAATCACGTGGTGACGCGACCATATGACATAATTCTGACTGCCACAGATTCTCAAGTCTTGTGGCATCATAATTAGGTCACATCAGTGACGTCACGCAAACGAGTCATTACGTGACATCGTAGCTTGGTCATATCGGGCCTACCCAAGATGCGCGCGAGGCGCAGCGAGAGCTAATGTGAAACGTTCCCCTTTCACTGTAAAGGGTGCACCACTGTACAAATAAACATTAGGCGGCGAAGCTATTGCCGAAGTTTCAGAAAAAGATGTTGGACAGTGATGCACATCTCATAATATTCGCCACGTAACAAACGACATTATAAATGGGTGAATCAAATTTTCTAATTTTGTGGCGGCATAATTAGGTCACATCAGTGACTTCACGCGGAAGAGTCGTTACGTAACATTGTAGCTTGGTGATAGGCGGGCCGACCGAGGACGCACGTGAGGTGCTGGGAAAGCTAATGTGACACATTCTCCTATCTACTGTAAAGGGTGCACCACTGTATATACAAACATTATGCGGCGAAGCTATTGTTGAAGTTGCAGAAGAGGATGTTCAGAGTGATGCACATCTAATAATATTCACCGAGTAACAAATGATATTAAAAATCAATGAATTTGTGTAATAGTACCACTCTAAGCAGCAATAAATAAACACTCTTTTTGGCGCAGTTATTCGTAGACTCGTATCCTTTTACACAGCTTATAACCTGTTATACAAATACCCAACTCAACAAACATCATTTTGGGCAATTCCTCTTTATCAGCAGGGTCAGTATCCTTTTCGTCATACCATATTAAGCTGTATGCTAGGAGTTCCCCATGCAAAAATTTCCAGAAATAATTCGAGATTATCTCTTGTCCTTTCCCGCTACTACGTACATATAGTGTGTATATCGCATTCTGCCACACGGTACATGAAATCCGCTCGTTGGGTCGCAAGCATCAACTGCTCCACAGTTGTAATGGTGGATGAAGTAAGGAAACGGCGAGAGAGAAGAGATGGGAATAGAGGTGTTGTTAACAAGCCTACTGTAGTTGATTTCCTACCTAGAACTGAGGAAAGAGATAGGTGAGTTGCAAAGATAATTATAATAATATTGTTAAGTTTTCCGTGCCCCGAAACTAGCGGATGATTATGAAAGACGCCGTAGTGGAGGGCTCCAGGAGTTTCGACAACCTGGGCTCTTTAACGTGCACCTAAATCTAAGCGCATTGTTCTCAAACATTTTCTCCTCCATTGAAAGTGTGGCCGCCACGGCCGGTATTCGAACCTACGACCTGCGTGTAGGCAGTCGAGGGCCGTAGCCACCAGATCACCGTGGCGGGTGAGTTGCAGAGAGCTGTGCATGAATCGATACAAAAAAAATGGAGAGTAAAAGTGTCGGTTGTCATCGCGGGACGATATAGACCCCTTTCCGTAGGAAATGTGGGCGCCACTATCTTGGGCTCTCAAGCCAATGTTTTCTTGTTTCTGTATATACCGACGTGAATTAGGAACGCAATGAAATATTGTATGCACCAACTCAACCCTTTTCATAGTTTGCATGCGTATGCATCTACCGTAACACTGTTCATTTGGTTGTTAAAGATACAAAACAGAAATGTTAATAGTTCAGTATGGCGGTAGTTCAATTCATTCGTAAAATTGTCTACTACACCACCCCCGTCACACTGGGTGAAACACAACACCTGATCCACCAGTTCTAAAAAAAGGTATTGGTAGTTGCTATGTCGTGTTGTCGAGTGCGTGTCAAATGAATCCCACCATAAAATTTTCTCAGTTTCGATAAAGTTGGCGCTTCTTTTGACATTTGTTTTTTACGCTAAGAACGGCATTTGATATTTAACTATAATGTTAACCATAATCACCTACAGTCAAACCAGGCTTCGTCTTTTCGTTTAGCTGTCTCGTATGTGTGTTGGGGCCCCGTCCACTTCACTAATACAAGATTTACTGTCTTTGTGATCTCCTTGGGTGCTGAAGTTCTCACAAAAGCATTCGCGCTCGTCTTCTCTGCCTCAGTGAAGTCCACAAATTATTCAAGTAAACTTATCAGATAGAGTGCGCCAGCTGCACGAACCGGGAATGCTAATTGCTCATTGGTAGAAGATACGCTTCCCAATTCAGCGTGTGTGTGGAGGAGAAAAAGCAATGATTATGCAAATTATAAGAACGGCATGGTTGACATCAATGAGGATGTCACTAAAAAGGGGCTTCTGTTGGATTTTCATGAGTTCCTAAATAAATACTTCTGTGGATCCTGACTACTTTGCGATGAACGATCGTTCCGTACGTTCTACTTCAGGTCTGCCTTTATACGGCGGATGCTTGCACAAACTTTGTTTGTGTGTTTGAGTACACGAGTGTAAAGCGATTTTATGTTTTGCTCATTCCTAAGCAAGAGCTACAGGATTTTGGGATATTCCGTGCAAATATAGCCTAATTTACAAATTACTCCAAATGTAAAAAATAAAAACCCATCGTCAGTTTGGAGATTTTCTTTGCCTAAACCTGTCTTTCGTAGAAACATAGGCATGTCGCCACTATACGTTTATCGATTTAGTCTTTCGTAACAAACAATACGATACATCGGCCTCATTTCTTACCATCTACACTCCTTCGTTATCAGACTTTCTTATTTTTTATATTGTAAATGTAAATCAAACAACGACAACGTGTGTGCAGTTCTAAATTCGGATTTCTTTCTCTTATATGAATAAGAGTTGCTTATTCCTCCCCTTTATCAAGCGTTAAAGTCTACTTCCTTAAGTTTGCTTGATTTAGAATAAACATTTCTTTCTAATGTAGCGCTTATTTCATCGAAGCTTTCTTTTCTTTTCCCACGAATATCTTCAATATTGCACAGTTCATTCTCTGAATGCCTGCTACCGATGCTTAGTAGCGACTTAACCATTGAAATAGCGTTTGTTTTGTTTGTTTGTTGTTTGTTTGTTTGTTTGTTTTACAGCAAACTGTTGGGGCTTTCAATATCCGTTGCACTTTTTCCCTGGTAATTAAAATACATCTTACAGTTTTTTAACCTATTGCAACTTCCGTTCCACCTAATGTTCTTGTTTGTCTTCTTGTACTGTTGTTGTACTCAGTTCTTTCTCGCTGTTTTACTTCGATTCGTGAAATATTTTATGTCCTTATTTTTTTTTACTTCCACTCTTCCCTGCCTTCTTAAAGAGCAGGAAAGAACCTGAAGTTCTCATTTTCTGTTGGAAATATCTACCTCCTTTTTTATTATTTTCTTCTCTGTGCACTACACATTTCTTAAAAGCACCAAAAAATAATAAGACGAAGAATACAAACAGTTTAAATAATTATTTGTACGTGCGCACCACCATAAAAACTCCACAGCTTTTTTACTTCATTCGTTTCTCCAGTAGAAGTTATTCACAATTACCTTCCTGTCATGGATGTTTTCCTACGTCATGACCTTCTCATGTTTTTTGTTTTTGACTGTCTCCCATGTTGCCTTGACTGCATCCCGCGCAGCCACAGGTTTCACTCGGCATGCACCTAACCAGCTGCCTTTTTTTTTTTTGTCTCTCTCTCTCTTAGTCTATTTTTCCCCTTTTTTATATATTGACCACTTCCGCAGCATCCGACCTTTTCATTGCTCGTAAAGAAGTGGCGAAAAACCAGAAGAGCACCCGTTTGCTCCCGATACAGGACGCCTGACATCCGTGAAACAAGACGCAGATTACCACCGCATGGCGGAGGGAGCGAACCGGAAAGGTCCGC